AAAGATTTTATTTGACAGAGAGAGACACAGCGAGAGAGGGAACACAAGCAGGGGGAGAGGGAAAAGCAGACTCCCAGCCGATCAGGGAGCCCAACGCAGAGCTCGATCCCAGGACCCTGGGATCATGACCCGAGCCGAAGGCAGACGCTTAACGACTAAGCCACCCAGGTGTCCCATCAGTCTATATTTTAATTGAGGCAGTACCACAATTAAAAGTTCACCAAACTTTGTTCTTCTGACTCAACATGGAGCCACCTCCACACCAAAACAGATCAACTAGAAAAGTTGGATAGGGCAAAAGGCTATGGTTTCAAGATTGGCAGAGGACAGGAGAAGGAATGCATATAGAGGGAGAGGGACCAACCCTCTCTCAGAAGGCAATGGGTCTCGCCTGCCTAATGCTTCCAGAATGATGCCAATATCTCTGGGATTAAAAGAAAAAACAAAAACTGTCATCAGCTGTGAGCTATAATTATACTCAAGATGTTAGGTAAAAAATCAGTATTCATTTCTTGGAGACCAATAGGAAAAAAAAAAAAGTCCAAAAAACTAGCCAAATCATTTACTAGGTGGACACAGTAGCTATTCTAATCAGCTATACTAAATATCTGTGCTTGGTTTTTGTGGTAGAGGGGACCTGCCAATGTCGATGACAGAAGAATCCTCCACAGCACATGCCTTGGTGGGAGGTGAAGTCCGCTTTACCCTCTAGAAGCTAAGAAGTCAAAATACATATTTGTCCAGCCTCTCTTGCAGCTAGAAGCCAGGCATGGGAACCAGGTTCAGCCATTTAGAAACACTTGCCCCACACTTTGTTTTTCCTTGGCTATTCTTAAGCATTTTCTCTTCCAGATGAATTTTTAGATCAACTGGTTATGTCAAGTTAAAAAAAAAAACAAAAAAAACGACAGGACTTTTCTGGGCAGTGAAAATACTGTGTATGATACAGATACAGATCATTACATATTTGTCCAAACCCACAGAATGTACCATACCAAGAATGAACCCTGATGTAAACTGTGGAATTTGGGTGATTATGATGTGTCAGTGTGGGTTCATCAGTTGTAACAAATGTACTACTCTGGTGGGGGGGTGTTGATCCTGGGGGAGACTATGTATGAGTGGGGACAGAGGCTACATGGGAAATCTCTGTACCTGCTGCTCAGTTTTTCTGTGAACTTCAAACTGCTCTAAAAGAACAAGGTCTTTAAAAATAAAATAGTTGGGATTTCATTAGGGATTAAATGGAATGCATAGGTAATTCCATAAGAGAGAGTCGGTTTAAAATACTGCATCTGCCCATTTGGGAACATTGTTCTTAAGTGCTTCAGCAAAGTTTTATTCTTCTCTTCAATGTAAGTTTTGCACACTTTTTTTTTTGGTTAATATTTAAAGTTTTTGTTTCTATTATAAAATGGGACATTTCCCCATGCATTATCTAAATAGTGTTGTTGTACAGAAAAGATATTAATTCCCTACACTGCTCTTATATCAACTCTAAACTCTTATTTTGGTCCAGATTTGTATCAGAATACTCTCAATATACTTAATTATTTCATCTTTAAATAGGTTTAATAATAGTAACACAAAAGTTTTTTGATAGCAAAGGTCACTTAAAATAAAAAGACATGGTCTCTCCTCTCTGGAGAGCCTCAAAATAAATACCACATTTGCTTAAGATCAAGGTCCTAGGGGCACCTGGGTGGCTCAGTCGTTAAGTGTCTGCCTTCGGCTCAGTTCATGATCCCAGGGTCCTGGGATCGAGCCCCACATCAGGCTCTCTGCTCCGCGGGAAGCCTGTTTCTCCCTCTCCCACTCCCCCTGCTTGTGTTCCCTCTCTCGCGGTTTCTCTGTCAAATAAATAAAAATCTTTAAAAAAAAAAAAATCAAGGTCCTAACATAAGAGCAGGGAGGGGGAAAAAAATATATATATATATGTGTGTATATATATATATACACATACATACACACACACATGCCCTCATCTAGCTCTCCCCACACTGTGGTTTAATATTGATTTTTGCTGCCTCAGGCCTAACTCAAGGTCAAGAGAAACACAGTGCTCATTTGCACTGATGGAATAGTGGGGACAAGGCAAATGTACTTTCCCCAAAAACATTTTCAAGTTTTTAATATTGTATTCTCTGACACAATTCTACAGCTTTCAGAAAACACGTTTTGCTTAGCTGTAAGCATTTCCTAGGTTAAAAAAAAAAAAAAGAATTTTGCTATTTTTAGAGTTCACTCAGGGTTCAATAGTTTAATACTATATATATTTCAAATACCCTTATATACATGTAACTTAAATTTCAATACCTGCTAAAATTTTGCCAGTAATTTAAAGTAGATATATGGGACATTTTCTTTTAGGGATAGGAACTGAAGGTATAACAACTTTTCAATATTTCTGAAAAATGTTTGTTTTCTTTTGAATACTAAATTTAACTCAGTGATTATGTTTTCTAAATTCTCAAAGCCAATTTGATAAAAAAAAGGGGGGGGAGGTTCAAGATTGTAAAAACAATCTACAAAGGATATATAAAATGCTGAGCTCAATATTTTAGACAAAAATATTTCCTAAATTTCTATAATTGTTAGTTCAAGTACATAGAAATGAATTTTCCTTTGTCTTTGCAACAAAGATTGGTTTTAATTGGAAACAGTAGAGCAAAATTTTTCCATATTGCAGGAGATATTATTACTCAAGTTTCAGGGCAGTCTCCACAGATTAGCTAACTTTAATTTACACAGAAACTTAGCTATGATCTACTTATATAATGAGAATTGGCACAGAGCTCAACATATGAATGGTCAAATTCCAAGTATTTTCCCCAATCATCTTGTGACATAACTTCATCAAGATTTAAAATTCCATCTGCCTTGTTCCCCAACTAACACAATCAGGTTCTAGTTAAGAGAAAAAAGGCAGGCACATACCATACAGATGTTTTATGAGAAATGTTCCCATTGCTTTTTCAAGTTGGTTTGCATTAGTGAAAAGCCATAGTGTGGGAATTATTATGAAGAAATGATTCAGAAAAAAAACAGTAGTTGCTCTTAAGGACCAGAGAGGGGAATAAACCCAAAATCACATGTTCTAAAATGGGAAAAGTTACAAATGCAAACTATGTTCACTGTCTGGCCATTCTGAAAGGCAGGGTGCCCCAAATCATTACTGTACTGTTTGTTATTTCACTGGCACTGGTCAAAGAGGATGGTAGGTCTGTTGTGAAAGACTCCATTACTAAGTAGGGAGTTTTGGCTTGGAGACCCAGGCCACTCATTGGGCGGCTCCAGCCAGACAGACAGCTTAGGACCTAACTTTATGCTGGAAATTACAAAGACATCTAAAGAAGCAAGTAACAAAGTCCCTAGGATGAATGTCAGATGAGCCAAAACTGGGGGGGGGGGCGGGAATTTTTTTAAACC